TGCATCGGCGTGCACTGGAGGGGCGCGAGAGGATTCTTGGACCTGACCACCCGGGCGCCCTGTCAAGTGTCAACAACCTAGCTAATGTGCTGAGAGACCAAGGAAAGTACGTCGAATCAGAGGCAATGAATCGGCGTGCACTGGAGGGGCAGGAGAGGATTCTTGGACCAGACCACCCACACACCATCACGAGCGCCAACAACCTAGCTATTCTATTGCGGGCCTGTGAAACGCATAATGAATCTGAGGTGATGCATGCGAGTGGACAAGCAGGGAGGGGGAGGATTCTGGGACTAGATCATCATAGCGTCCAAGCAGGTATCAACCGCCTCGCGGTGGTGCTGCGACCCCAAGGAGAGTCGGATGATTCACAGTGGCCAGGGTTGCATGCACAGGAACCCCTTCCTGGAACCCTAGACCATACGCGGCCACGATTTTCACGCCGCGTTGTCCATTATTTGCGGAAGAGGGTTGTCTTCCCCAAGGGTGATAGGCCCACGTAGTGACTCCTGCTACTGTAGGACGTTTGGTTGGACTGGAGGTGACAGGAGTGGGCTGTTAGATTCCACTGGTGCGAACGCCTGTGGGTATTTACGAGGGGAACGACGGTAGATCGCGTAGGACCAGCAAGAATAGCGAACTAGACGCCGTGACCGGTGTGCAGTCGAAGTGTAGTGCGGAGGAAGTATTGGTCATTTTTACCTTCCCGCATTTTATCTTTCCTTGTATTCATTCCGCTTTTCGTGATATATTAGTTCATATTATTTAACAGAAAAGAATGTCGTACGCCTTCTCACCCGGTAAGCACCTTGCAGTTCCTCTTCTCCCCTTCAGAATCACCAATACTACCTTGCTCAATATTGCTATTAGATACGCTTTGGGTCCCGAACACAATCCAAGCTACCGAATCTCCAATAGCCTCTGCTGGCCGCTGTCCCGCCGGCTTTCTCCCCGGCTTTACGGGTGCCAAGTTGCATGTTACACTCTAAGAGGCTAAGAGAAGTTTCTGTACCCTTACATCACCTAATACCATGCCCCGCCCAGGGCAGGACATTCTATGAGTCACGTTCCGCCGACTGCTTCCCTGTGCGACCGCACGATCCCCAAAGGATCACTGCCGACAGCCCCAACACCCTGACCTGTGCTGGCTTGTTCGTTACAGTCACAGATTCAACTTGTATCGCAAGAATTTAGCTGTTATTCCTTTTATTTCTTTTGTTTGAGAGGTGAGAGATTCGGGACCTATTTACTAGTGGATATGGAGGAGTTTATTCCCTTGTTGAAAAGATAGGGAAAAGAGGTTAGAAATTGGGAGGTGAGAGACAGTGCGGAGAAGAAAAGTTGTCTTGGGAATATGGGAGAGGTAGCGGGGATGATGTAGGAGAGATGTAAAGGGAAAGATGAGGGAGCAGCGGCAGATCAGAAACTGGGATACCATTCCCGGACACAAGAGACTCCTATGTACAAAGTCCACGAACAGTGGGAAACAAGAAAATGGGGAGGGGCATTAAAAGGTTCTTCCTCAGATCATAAATGACATAACCATATTAACTGATAACCACCCGGCTATATCATTGTAGGAGAAAGTAAATTATGATCACTCTGCAACTATCGCCCAGCACACACAAGAGGCGAAGGAGAAAGCCACAGACTCAGGCCATACTACTGTACATACTACTCTTGGCAATCCAGCTCCCGCATCTGACCGCCGAGGAAGCCATGAGGGTTAGAATAAAATGTCGGCACTCCCTGTAATGGAGCAAGAGGGGACTTGGCGGGGAGCACACGGAACCTTGTAGCCCCCGCACGCTTCCGGTCCGCCTACCGGGTTAATATAAAAAAACGAAGGGAATACCCTTTTGCCGGAAACCCTCCGAGCATGTACACTAAGGATTCGATAATGCTCTGAGAGAACAACCCACTACCCACCAGCGCACTAGGGAGCTGACGGCGCTACAAGAAAGGCGATCCCAGCCCAAAAGGAGTAGTAAGTTGGAGGAACGATGTAATTTAGTATGTCCTTGTTTTTATATAAGCACGGAAAGCTAGAGCTAGGGAATGCGGTAGTAGTCTAATAGCTCCAAGTAGGAATAACAATTATCATTTATATATAAAGTACCTTCACGGGCGGGCCCGGGCAGTAACAGAAGGTAAAGGAAATTACCGAGGGGGTTGGATGGCCTTAGAATCCAATATATGTAAGGTACAGAAGGTGGTAATCGTAATCTAACAGGCCGAATGGGGTCGAATGATTCTTGGATCCCAATTTCTATCTTTGATTTAAATCTCAAATAAGCTTTTATCAATCAATTACTTGGCCGGACTGTCTGTTTGCTTTCTGTGTAGGGCGCCCCCCCTCCCCAAGGCGGAATGCAGTATTGAGGTGTATGCTCGGGGGTGGGGATTACCTGATTACTCATCTTATGCCGCTATGCCCTCTAAGTGGTCAGCATTGTCCCAGGCCAGGCATGATCCTGCGGCACTTACTCGGCACAGTTCCCGAAGACTATATCCCACACCAGCTTTCCGACAAAATGTGCGACAATTTTGGGTGCAACAATAAATGTACCACCTCTGAAAAAAATTGAAATACTACTTAGGTCAGAAAACCTAAGCTGTAAATACTTAAACCAAACCAGCTAATTTAATATAATAGGTAAATTATTCGATTGTAAAAATAACAATCAATACTGAACATCTGTCACATTTAATTAACTTGTTTGTGCTATATTTTTACAGCTTAGGTTTTATGACCTAAGTGGCATTACAATTTTTTTCAAAGGTGTTACATTTAGCATTGCACCAAAATCGTCACATTCTTTGATGGAAAGCCAGTGCAGGACAAAGTCTTCCGGAACTATATGTATGCAAGTGACCGGACATCCAGGAATTAGAAGTATCAACGCCTCTTGCTTGTACGACTAGATGGCATGTCGAATTGATTTCTTCATTTCCTATTAGGGGAGTAAGTTCGGGCCTCCCGAAATCCTCTACGGTCCGGCCTCCCACATCCACCACCGAGTTCTGGATGTGTCTCTTATATTGTTTGTTAAATTCGGTTTGTTGGAGTTAAATTAGTATGGTGGAGTGCCATTTACTCGTAGAAGAAAGCGCGGTAGGTAAGAATTGGGCTATCCGTACAGGTCTAACAGTGAAGGTGCGGCCTCCGGCTTGTGCTTGATGCGATGCTAGCACTTACCCATACAGAGGAAAGCTGGCAAAGTTAATGTGACTTCACCGTGTACCGTAGTAACTCGAGTAAGAGAACGACGCGCTAGTAGGTTAATTTAGAGTGTGGCAGAAATTATGCAAATTGAACCTCACCAAAAGTGACGGAATTTGGAGCAGAGGTCACATGAGTTCAACGTCAAGTGTGATAATTGCCATAACTAAGAGGCCAAGAAGCGGGGTAAATCAATACTATATAGAGCAGGTAGGTAGTTAACAGAATAGTGAAGTGATCAAGAAACATGGCTTCCTCTCACGATCTTGTTAAGTGTATTGATTCAGAGACCTTTTATAGTCCACAAAAGAAAAAACGTCCAGGAGCTAAGTGAACCATAATTGTGCAAAGACCACTCACCTTTCCTCGTCCAGTTTCAGTAACAAAAAGGCATTAGACAGCTCGATATAAGCTGCGGGTTCTCTCTTACCTCCTCCATGCGACAGTACCAATTGGACCGACCCTTACACGTCATGTTACAGCTGCTGAAACAGCCTGCCGGTTCAAAATTCCTGCTTCTAATATTGCCCGATGGAAGAAGCAGGAAGATACCCTCCTTGAATCCCTTTTGACCCAATGTCGGAATCAGAGTGTACAACACAAGTGGCCAAAAATGGAGCAGCCACTTTATAAGGGCTTCTTGGAACGGAGGAACATGGAAAAGATTGTCCAGCGTGGATGGTTTCAGGTCATATCAAAGTTACTAATGTCAAAGCACTATTCTGGAGAAGCATTCTGCTTCTCCAATGCCTGGTTTAATGGTAAATCTCTTTCTATTCTTCAATTCACTTTCAGGTTTGCATAAATTAAGTTCTCATATAATCTGTATTGAATCTTGTAAAATTATTTTTTTTATTTTTTATTTTTTTTATTCATTGTCTATCATATCTTATTTCGTACTTGGATATGTACATAATACTAATAAACAAAATATTAATAAATTCAATAGGTTTTCTAAGATGGTATAATATTTCACTTAGAGTGAGTACCAATAAGGCGAGTAAGGTACCAGCAGACTCATATGAGGTGATATTATCATGGGCGTGGTTCAATTGGCGCAGTTCTCAACTATGTCCAAATGATGAGAGAGGGCTTGGAGACTCAATGGCAGAGGTAGGGAGATACAATCTGCCAGCAATTTGCAATATGGATCTAACTCCTCTGCCATTTGAGTTTCTTTCGGGACAGACATACGAGCCCTGAGGCTCAAAAACTGTTTAGGTTAAGGGAGCTACAAGTGGCTGGGATAAGAGACAAGCTACTTTGCAGCTCACTGTTTTTGCAGATGCTGCAATGCGTGTCCAACCACTTATTTTTTTTAGAGAAAAAGGTATCGGAGCTAGTATTTTACGAGAATCGCAGCTTTACGACCCCAGAGTACAAGTGAAGTTTAATCCTACAGCCTACGCCAATTCAGTAAACATAGAGAATTGGATCGAGAAACAACTGGTACCTGCATTGAACGGAAAACCGGCATTGCTCCCTCTGGATCTCTTTGGTGGTTACAAAACAGATAAGGTTTTGGATGCACTCAAGGCACATGATATTACTGTATCTGTTATACCTGCTGGATGTACAAGTATTGTACAACCATTAGATATATCAATAAACCGTCCGTTTAAAGATATTTTGAAGGTATTTCCTTGCTTTATTATTAAAATTTATTTTATTAATTATTAATACAATACTATATACTAAAAGGAAATAATTGAAGAGAAGGAAATTGAATTGGAGAAAATGGACACCAAAGATAGGCCAGGAGAAAGCAAAGTAGGACAACGATGTGTGATGATTACCTGGGCAGTTGGGGAAGCCGGGGAACGGTTTTGCGTTAGTTGAAAAGAAGTCATCACATGATCTGTTTTGCGCTGTTGGTCTTTCCTTACCTATTGATGGGTGTCATGACACTGAACTGTCCTTAAAGGGTATTGATATGGAGAGGTTAGTGGAGGACTTAAAGGACTGGGACATTGGAGGATTGGAGCTGTAACGGGGGCT